GGCAGCATCATTGGAGAAAAAAACATACTTAACGTTTCACATCCAGTTTTTGGGACTGGAGTCAGTTTTCACTTACCAACCCAAGCCTGGATGTTGTCCAGATCCTTTTGCATATGGACATGGACTGCTTCATTGAAGTAGAAGTCGCGAATGTTGCTGAATGTTATGCAATGTTTTCCAATACTGCTTCTATGATGGAAAAAACATCTTTGATGAAGCAGTTGAAGATGGTTGGGCATAGGATACTACTTTGAGGAGTTCCTGCAATAATGCCCATGAATTGAAATGACTGACACTCAACTACTGTCGTCTTCCATTTGTGGTAGGACATCTTGTTTAAATGCTTGAATACATAATTTAGTGAGATAATGAAGTATTGATGCAGCTGATGTGATCTAAATGGACTTTTAACAGGTTGATAAAAGGACCACATGGTAAACTTGTTAGCAAAGATGAAACCTCTGGAGTAAAACGGCAAGTGGCAAAATGGAAATAAAGTGGGTGAATGACAGAAATAGTTCTGACTAGTTATTTTTTAGATTGGAAGAAGGTATAATGTACAGTTCCTCAGAGGTCAGTAATGAGTGCACAAGCAGGTAGTTAAGCTAACTTTTCTAAAGCATTAGCTTAAAAGGCTGTTGTGCACCTGGATGAGCACTGGCATTCTGATGTTGCCTTACTCCGTCAAGGACGTTTCTAGAACATCTCGGAGAAGAGGAAGATGGCACTATGATTCTCCAACAGGGACGTCGAGGTCTTGATCAAGGGGTCATGCAAAGGATAGGTGTTCTCTTTAAGATCTCCCCATTGCAGACAGTGTTGACCCACTTCACAATTTTCATCCCGCTTCACCACTACCCAACAACCTGTAGCCCCCAACCCTTTGAATAACTTGCTGAGTCTCCTTCCCACTGCTGTGGCTGCCCTATCCCCTTCCATCCACAACACCTATCCCCTTTCCATTACTTTCTCTGGACGGAACCAGAAGACTGATTGCGACACACTCCTTTGAGCAATCTATCTGGACAACTCCAGATCTCTTGCTCTCTTGCTGTATATTTCCCTGACCACTTTGAAAGCACAGGACTGATTGTGACTCACTCCTAAAATGCAGAGAGACACCTGAACACCGCAAGTGACTGCCCGACTGTGAAGAATCCCTTGATCAGTTATGGGAGCCTGTGACTTCACTGTGCCAAATCCGCCTAACTGGTGGGTGTATACAGTGGACTTCAGTGAAGACTACTTTTAAAACTTGACCTTGAGTGTGAGCAAGTGCTAAGAGAACACAGAAGCAGACCTGCAATGCAACTTGATCCAATCAGTGAGGTGGATGCCTGTCCCTGCGGAAGCCTTTCAGTGCTGGTTGTAATGCAAATCCCTGCTTTCTGAGTGCCCTGCGAGTATATCAAAGAGGTGCCAAGATGGTCATGAGGGATTGTGAAATGTCAGATGCTAATGTGAATGAAAGTGGCGTGTGTGTGGCAGGCGCTCATGGATCATGTCTTGATATGTTTGGCCCTAAGCAACATGGAGATCCTTGGGAACAAGCAACGAGCTGAATTTGCTCAGTATCCTCTAATTTTGACATCAAGTTTTCTTGATGTCTAGCTTGTTCAATAAAATTGGAAGCTGAATATTAATATCACGGGCGGACTGTCAATAGGGCACTTAATAAACAATAATTCCCCTTAATTTGCAATTGTTGCTAATAATGCCGTCTATAATGAGAAACTCAGCATGTCAATTGTCAAAAGTATAAAAGATGGTGCAAGAGACTCCCGATGTTGAGATGGACCTTACCGGACTGCTCGTCTGATTCTGCCATAGATCTTACCACAGCCCATGTCACTAAGACCACCATAAGGACTCAGAAGGCAGTGCTAGAGAATGCAGTGGATGCAGATTCTGTCATGGATTTCAGAAGGGTATTGGATAAGTTTCAAATTTGTAGGGCGATAAGGAAAGGGCTAGAGGCCGGAACTTGCTGAGTTGCTCTGTCCGAGAACTAACATGGTCATAAGGAGTCATATGGTCTCCTGTGTTGTAACTATTCTATGATTCTATAATAATGCAGTCATTGGTGTTAAACTGTTATCAATTAGATTATTATGTCAGAAATTCGAACTAAGGACCAATATTTTTAAAACACTTGAAATGCTTCTGAAAGCAGAGTGTGCTTAGCGTATCTTCAGATTTTTAAAATAATCTACCTAACTTGATCTAAAAATTTTTACATGATAAAGCATCTGTATCACCATCACTCCATTGTCAAACTAACTGACATAGTTTAAAGAATCAAACTACCTGAAATTATTGTTTCATTGATATTTGTATCTAGATCAAAGACATTCTCGGACCTGCAAATCCAAACCACACTAAAACAACATATTAACAGCATAAATTTCAGTACAGCTTTTAGTGTAATAACGTACTTCAGAAGAATGTTATCAAACAAAACTTAACACCAAAGCATGGATAATTCTGTGGCTGAGATTCTGGTTGCATATATGCATCATTAGTCTAATAAAATATCAGCCATATACAATTTAAAGCAAGAAAATTAATCAACATTTCTTGAAGTTTTCAAGAATTTCATCCTGTATTATAGACTTGGAGCTGATTCACCTATTTTATGTTCCAAAAAAGAAAAGCAGCTTGAACAGAGTGGCTTTGCATTATTTTTATTTTCCACAGGAAGCAGAATATTTGTTTCTACAACAGATGCATACAAAGGACAAGCATTGGACTTTATCACTAAATGGAGTTCACAGCCCTTCTGAGTCACTTTCTTTCTCATTTGCTGGAAGGGCTTTCATTGGAAAACTGAACGTCAGAAAATGGATTTTTGAGCCTCAAGACCTTCCTGTTGTTCTGAGCCATTAGGCCACTCCCTCTGCTGCCAGCCTCTGATGTCTGCAGGAACAGCTATAATTCTAAGTACAGGGCAAGACCCTTCTTGCAAATGCTTTACCTGCTTCATTGGTACCAGTCACGGAGAGTGCAAAATCCACTCCTAGTGGTGTATCAGAAACTATATTAACTGGCGTCCATTTCTTTTATCCCTATCTCATTTGGACAAGGATGTCATGTTTTTCATCTTCCTGTTCTTGGACGATATTCCTTACTTTACAACATTTTGGAAGATTGTTAAAATATTATTTTTTCTCCATAAATTTACTTATGGATATTTGGGTATAATCATTAAGTCCTTATCAACTTGTGTTTGAGTAATTTCTTGAGGATCCTTTTATCTTTGAGGAGTAATTTTGAGTTTCCATGTAGCCATTTATTAGGATTTTTTTGATTTAGTTCAGTGAAACAGTTCAGAGGAGATTCACTTGACTCATTCCTGAGATGAAGAGTCTATCTCAGGAAAAGCTTAACAGACCGGGCCTATACCCATTGAAGTTTAGAAGAATGTGAGATGATCTTATTGGAACATAGAAGATCCTGAGAGGATTTGATGGGGTAAATACCAGGAGAATACTTCCTCATGCGGGGACATAAGAACTGGGCCATTCACATTCCGATCATTTAATCTGAACTATCTACATCTTTTCTCGACCAGTACCCTAAAGCCACACCCCCCCCACCCCAAACTAAAGCATAAATGCTGCCCCCTCCACACTTCATGTCAGCTCTGATGAAGTGTCATCTAAACTTGAAATATTAGCTTGCTCTCTCTCCATGGATGCTGTCTAACCCGCTGTGATCTCCAGGATTGGTTGTTTTCAGTAAGAACTAGGAACATGGTTTAAAAATAAGTGGTCTCCCTTTTAAGACAGATGAGAGGCTTTTTTTTCCCTCTCAGATGACCATTACTCTCTGGAATTCTTTCTCCCAGAAAGTTGAGGCTGAGACATTGAATTTGTTCAAGGCTCCATTGGATAGATTTTTAATAAACAATGGAGTCAAAACTGTTAAACTCAGAGAAGAAAGTGAACTTTAGACCACAATGAGATCAGCCATGATTTTATTGAATGGCAGAGAAGGCGTGAAGAGTCAATGGCCTACTCCTGCTCCTATGTTGACTGTCGCACATTGCAAGATGAGTGACTTTAGAGACTACAGCAGATCTACGTCAACACGCGTTGTTAGTAGGCCAGAACACACTTTGTCATTCCTGGGTGAGTTTAATCAGTGGCTTTTAATTCTATTTTGTTGAATACAGCCAGTGGAAGTGTTAGAATTCTGAAGCTCTTAAACATTGATATCATCTCACTGTTTTGGATATTCATTTACAAATCAAAAATTGACAGTACTAGTTTAAATCTTTCTTTTCTGTGCATAAATTGCTATTGTGTTGGTCTACTACAGTTGCAAAAACTTGAAATGAGGTCATTTTCACCTGAGTAACAAGCATCTGCATCTACCAATTGTATCAATTGTTGAATAGGCACTATGTAAATACAGGCTGTGGTTCATGATTCAAATTTCTTCTAGAGCCCATGTCCACATGTTCTAGCTATGTTACAGAAAGTTACTGCATAGAGCTCTATTGCTCAGGATATTGCTTCCAATTGCTGAATAAATAAAGTTCTTATAGAGTTTATGAAGAAACCACGAAGTAAGACTTGTCTTTATTTATCATACTTAAGGTCCATCAAGCATTTTCAGGACCTTTCTAATAATACTAGTAATTGCTGTAACATTTCTCTCATCCTCTTGTTTAACAAGATGTGATACAATCTCTTCATTCTTACAAGTTTTATGACCGCTTTTTCAATACTACATGCATACAACTCCAATGTTTTGCAATTGGTAAATGTTGATCAATTTGAAGAACTTGATTGGGCTTGTTTATTGATTATTATTATGGTGGCAGGTTCAAAGTTTAAGTGGCAGAGAATCAGGCACCTATCTACCATAAATATTAAATTATTTGTCGTTCAACCAAATCAATGAAAATAAAATCTATGTAATAAGATAGATTCAGTCATAACCTTTATGTTACCTGTAAGCATTTGCCAATACAGCTTTTTTTTTGTTTCTAATAGTTTTGATGTTGAGAATGGACCTTCTCCAGGCCGGAGTCCATTGGATCCTCAGGTCAGCCCTGGATCAGGACTTGTATTGCACACTAATTTCCCAAGCCACAACCAACGACGAGAATCCTTTCTGTATCGCTCAGACAGTGATTATGAATTATCACCAAAATCTATGTCTAGGAATTCATCAATTGCAAGTGAAATGTAAGTAGGTTGGTAACTTTGCAGCATTCAGAGCTGTAAAATTTGGATTTGATGCTTTCAGATGAAGTGCAACTATATGGTGGGGGCAAAGTGTCAAGGAGTAATATGTTTTAAAATTGCAACCTAATTTATCAGCTATTCTAATTGGGGTCTGATTTTGGATCCTCTGGGGAGCTGAGTTTCATCAGCTAAATTTAGATCAACTGCATTGAATGTCTTAGTTACTGAAGGATGAAGCACTTTTACCCATCAAAAATCACCTGAACACAGTGGCCTCACACCAGCAAAACTGGTAGACACAGCCTATTGTATAAAACGAACTGACACAAAGTTTTGTCCAAAAGCTAATCTTTTGAAGTGAAAACAATTTAAAGTAGTTTTGTGAGCCGCCATTCATGTTTTAAGTATTAAAACCAATTATATCGTTTTCAATCATTTAAAGAAAGAACACACTGGTAGATTAAACCAATGAGTAGTTCTCGGTGCATTGACAATTGGATACACAGATTCAATTTCACAAAATTAAAAGACAGTGAAAATATAGCTCTTCTCAGTTGGCACCTGTATCGTTGTGAAGCTTGAGTTCATAATCCTTTCTCCGTATTAGAACTGTGAATTAAATGCTTTTCTCTTTATCTTCATCTTCCTTTCCATCTCTTCCTTTTCTTTCTCCATCTTTTTTTCTTAGCTTATAATTTGTATCCCCTTGGTTCTTTTTCCGTCATTCTTGATTTTCTCTCTTCTTTCTATTGATTCTATTAATCATTTTTTTCCTGTTGTTTTGTTTTTATCCACAATAAGATTGGCTGCAGGTTTTTTGTCTCTTGGATTTCTTTCAATAGTCACTGAGAGAAAGTTGCATAACATAATGGGTACAAGATTATCCCAGAATTTCTTGATTAAAAATAAAGCATTCATTCTTTACTTTCCACTTCCTTAAAAAAAGGCTTTTTTCACTGTGTAGCAAGAGCAGTTAATAGCTGTTATACTAATAGTCACGCACCACCAGGTTATAGTCCAACAGGTTTATTGAAATCACAAGCTTTTGAAACGCTGTTCCTTCATCAAGTGAAGTCATTTGGTGTTGTGTGACTTCTGACTTTGTCCACCCAGTCAAATACCAACATCTCAATATCATGTTATGCTAATAGCTAGACCTCATCATCACTGATGTCAAATTATGTCAGATTGCATGGAACAGGGACCTGAGGGAAGAAGCTTCTGATGGAATCCAGGTATATTATGTCTGTGTAAGTAGTGCATATTGCTAATGAATGTTCATCAGTTTGCACTTGTAGGATTTCTAATTCTTATGCATAAAGAGCATCCAGAACACAGTTGTGATATTTGAACACACTGTTGCCCAATAAATTAAATCTTTTAAAATATTGATCACAAAAACTGCAAGTAATTATGCAATTGATGATGAAACAGAACAGAGAGCCAGAACTATAAGTAAAGCAATATTTCCCTGGTATAAACACTAAGGGATATCTCTGCTGTCAGCCAAAAATGTATAATAATGTTTTCTTTTAAGAAATTGAAAATCAATAATTGACTTTTCTTAAAAACTCTTTTATAAAACATCCTGATGATATTATAGAGTACATTAGTTTAATACACGGTGCATGACTGGGCAAGCAAGTGTCATACCTTGACATGGTGGGTATGAGGCACCATGGGAGGGGGTGGATGGGGCATTAGGTGGCATGAAGAGTGAAAGGGATTGAGGGTCTTGCTGTTCTTATAACAGATGTGTTGTCCCAGAAAGTACTTAGCAGCCTCTATGACAGTAATGGGTTTTGGGAATGTCCTGCAGTTCTTTTTCCTTAGCAGATAAGTACCTGTGCATAGTGGGACAAGAAAATACATGTAAAACTTCAGTTAAATTCTGTAGAGGTGGCAGGCTTGCACCTTACATAGTTTAATGGTAATACATGGTGATCATGAAACTATAATTGATTTTTGTAAAAACCTATCCGTATCACTGATGTACTTTAAGAGAGGAAATCTGCCATCCTTACCTGGTCTTGCCTGCGCATGACTCCAGACATATAGCATTGTGGTTGACTCCTAACTGCCCTCTAAAGTAGCCTAGCAAGCCACTCAGTTCAAGGGCAATTAATGTTGGGAAATAGATACTAGCCCAGCCAGTGACACCCACATTCTATTAAGGTATAAAGAAAAAGAAATACTTTTTGCAGTACTTAGTGATGTTTTATTTGTATGGCAAAAGTGTACATACATTTATGACAGATTTTAAGGTAAAGTAATGCCACTGAGGTACAAAAAATTGGACGAAAGCCAATTTTGATAGTGTTGGGCAAGACCTTTCAGAAGTTGATTGGGGAAAGATATCTGCAGGTAAAGTGATAACTGGAAAGATGGCTGGAAGCCTTTGAAAATGAGATACCAAGAGTCCAGAGATAGTACGTTCTTGTTAGGGTGAAGGGCAAGGCTGGTTAGTGTAGGGAATACTGAATGACTAGAGAAATTGAGGTCTGATCAAGAAAATGAAGGAAGCGTATGTCAGGTAAGAGAACAGGGATTAAATGAATCACTAGAGGAGCATAAGGGCAGTAGGAGTATACATAAGAGGGAAATCATGAAGGCAGAAAGGGGACATGAGATAGCTTTGACAAATAGGTTTAAGGAGAATCCAAGGGGATTCTACGAATGCATTAAGGACAAAAGAGTAACTAAGGAGAGAATAGGCTCCCTTAAAGATCAGCAAGGCCACTTATGTGTGGAACTGCAGGAGTTGGGTGAATATTTTGCAGCAGTGTTTACTGTAGAGAAGGCTATGGAAGCTAGAGAACTTGGGAAAATAAATAGTGCTATCTTAAAGTGTCCATATTACAGAAGAGGAGGTGCTGGATGTCTTAAAATGCATAAAGGTGGATAAATCCCCGGGACTGGATCAGGTGTACCCTAGAACTTTGTGACAGGCTAGGGAAGTGATTCTGGGCCCATCACTGAGATATTTGTATCGTCGATAGCCACAGGTGAGGTGCCGGAAGACTGGAGGTTGGCTAATGTGGTGCGATTATTTAAGAAAAGTGGTAAGGAAAAGCCAGGGAACTGTAGACTGGTGAGCCTGACATCAGTGGTGGGCATCTTGTTGGAGGCAATTCTGAGGGACAGGATTTATATGTATTTGTAAGGTCAAGGACAGATTAGGGATAGTCAACGTGTATTTATGTGTGGGAAATCGTGCCTCACTAACTTGATTGAGATTTTTGTAGAAGTGATGAAGAGTGTTGTTGAAGGCAGAGCAGTGGATCTTGCCTATATGGACCTCAGTAAGATATTTGACAAGGTTCTGCATGGTAGCATGGTTAACAAGTTTAGATCACATGGAATACAGGGAGAACTAACCATTTGGATACAAAATTGGCTCAAAGGTAAGAGACAGAGGGTGGTAGTGGAGGGTTGCTTTTCAGACTGGAAACCTGTGACCAGCGGTGTGCTGGGCCCACTGCTTTTTGTCATTTAAATAAATGATTTGGTTGTGAATATAGGAGGTATGCTTAGTAAGTTTGCAGATGGCACTAAAATTGGTGGTGTAGTAGACAGTGAAAGTGGTTACCTCCAAGTACAGCAGGACTTTGATTAGATAGGCTGATGGGCTGAGGAACGGCACATGCAGTTTAATCTAGATAAGTGTGAGTTGCTACATTTTGGTAGGCCAATCCTGGGGAGTGTTGCCGAACAGAGAGGCCTTGGAGTGCAGGTTCATATTTCCTTAAAAATGGAGTCACAGGTAGTCAGGATAATGAAGAAGGCATTTGGTAAGCTTGCCTTTATTGGTCAGTGCATTGAATATAGGAGTTGGGAGGTCATGTTGTGGCTGTACAGAACATTGGTTAGGCCACTTTTGGAATACTATGTTCAATTCCCTTCTCTCTGCTGTAGGAAAGATGTTGTAAAGCTTAAAAGGGTTCAGAAAAAGACTTACAAGGATGTTGCCAGGGTTTATAGGGTTTGAGCTATTGGGAGAGGCTGAGTAGACTAGACTTATTTTCCCTGGAGCATCAGACGCTGTGGGGTGAGCTTATAGAAGTTTATAAAATCATGAGGGGCATGGACCAGGTGAATAGTCAAGGTCTTTTCCCCAGGATAGGCATGGTTTTAAGGTGAAAGGGGAAAGATTTAAAAGGGATCTAAGGGGCAACTTTTTCACACAGAGGGTGGTGCGTGTATGGAATTAACTGCCAGAGGAAGTGGTGGAGGCTAATACAATAACAACATTTATAAGGCAACTGGATGGGATTATGAATAGTAAGGGTTTAGAGAGATATGGGCCAAATGCTGGCAAATGGGACGAGATTAATTTACTCCCTGTTTGTTTTCTTCAGTTCCCTCCTGCCTACAGATCTGCAAAGCATTGGCATTTGCCGACAAAGTTTTCTTTAGCAAAAGGGAGTTAACCAAAAGATTACACAGAATATGTACACTGCTATAAATTAGTTCTCTGCCACACAAATGGAAACTTCCAAGACTCAACTAGTCAAATATTTATATTTCATATTGAAACAGTTAACCAGTTCCTTTTCATCTAGGAAGACTATTTTCATCGAGTTTACAGTGCCATATTACATACATGAGAAACTCATTCTTTTTCATTTAAAAATTGCCTTTAACATAGTAACATTTCTTGAAACTCTTTACAGGATCATTATAAGATACAATTTCATACTGGGCCACATATGACAGATTAATTATAATATCTGGTCGGCCTGGATGAGTTGGACCAAAGTGTCTGTTTCGGAGCTGTGCATGTCCATGACTCTCTGACTCCAAGTCCAAAATTTTGCATCATAAGAAAAGTATCTTCTCTGCGGCATCGTCCAACTCCACCACCTGTTCAGATAACCATCTGCTAAAATCCTTCCCCATGCCTTTGTTATCTCTATTCTAATATGCTAAGCTAGCATTCCACAACACCCTTCAGTAAACCTATGGTTGGCAAAACTCTGCTACCCATGTCTAAACCCACA